CTAGTAGTAATACTACTGTTAATGCCGGTAATAATAATAATAATAATAATAATAATAATAATAATAATAATTCTTTTATCAGGTTCACATGCGCAGTTGATAGCAAAATGATGGAGACGTTATTTGCTACAATTCAAACAGAAATTATCAACCGAAAGATCGAGAATCAAAATTGGATGTTCGCCTGATCGCATTCACTAGATATCCATTTATTTATTTTGAAAGTGCCTCAATCATTATTTATTTTGAAAGTGTATCATTTATTTTGAAATTTTCATTTAGGGAAATAAATTTCACCGGAGCTTATTGCTGTGTAAAATTTTTATGCAATTCATTCAAACAACTCATGAGAAATATAATTTTGTACGATGCAAATTTGACTGTCTTTTATCGAATATGTACACATATATGTATGAATGCGTCTTTCTTGAGGTGACTATGTCAATATTGACCTGTGCTCATTAAATGTGTCATTATTTGATACTGCATCGCTTCATAGGGAGAAGGGCATTGATTAATGTTCAAATTATTAAAGATTACTCGTTATCGGATGGATGTCAGTCAGTTGAGAATAGTCTCAATTATCCACTGACCGAAAAAGCTATTTTTGGAACTGTTTGCTTCATAAGTCGTGTAGTTTGAAAGCTCGGTGTGATGAGGTCTGCGATGAAAACTTTATGACAAAATAATTACTGCAGAAATGGAACACAACACTTCAATGAAGTGTGAATAGCACAAATTTATGAAAATTGATGACTTTATTCGATTGAAATTTCTTCGAGAGCTCCCAAGATCCTCTAGAATTGAAAGTATTCGGCATTTCAACCGTGTGAGTTCTTCAAACGAAAATTTTTTTCGAAAATTCAAACGTAATTGACCATTCCTATTGAACGGGACACGAAACACTCAAGAAATTGCTACCATTTATTCAACAATTTTGAAACATGCTTATTCCTTGCAGAAATTTGAACATCAACATAAAATGCAGAGGATTGATTGTAGATGATCTGATAAAATCACAATGAATTCTCGTTCCCTTTTGCTCGACAGCAATAAAACTGCTCCAGTCTTCATCACTGATGATGAACCTAACAATCACTGACAACATCTTTCCCTCGAAGCAAAATGAAAACAAGATTAATACGGCAAAAAGAAGATGAGATGAAGTTCTGGAATAGTATTCATACTGCGATAGTTCTGGCTAGACAAAGTTTATGAGCGCTGTTCTTTTCATCGCAAACTTTTCATTGTCTAGAGTTCATGTCTACGAAGAACACTAACACATTTGTATTTCATCATAAAACTGATGAACCATAAAGTTACCCTCATTCCACACTCAACTTTTAATTGCTTTCCTTGCAAGACGATTCATTCCAATTTTGAAGTGCAAAACAACAAAATTGCACGCAGTGCCAATCAAAATGTGCGCAATTGGTGATGAAACTTCAATTAGACAGATTTCTTTAAAACAAAAGACCATTCGAGATGAGAGCGAAGCACATCTCGGTTCAGATTATGAGTTATCATCACAATAATATTACACGTTCTTTGCTGACCAATACTGACAGTGTGGAAGATGATGTGAACGAGTGTTAGATTTTCTCGAGGTGTGTTCATTGCACTAAAACAAGAAATCGAACCCAAATCTTATCGTCCTCAGAATCAGGAAAACAAATCGCAAAACTCGCAATCAGTGAGCGCGATGAACCAAAACCTGCGTTCAGTATCAAATAATTGATCACATAAGAAAGGTGTTTTTTGTTTTTGCGATGACCCGTTCGAAGGGAAATTGATCAATTTATTTCATTGATACGTACGTTTTCATCGAATGAATGAATATTCGACGTTGCTAATTTTTATATTGTGAAGTCAGAATTTCGACATGATCCAATAAGCAGTGGAAATTTCACAATAGTTT